TTGGTAATCATCGGTATTGTTACTCTCGTCGTCGCGGTTCTTTACCGCGTAATGCTTGGGGTTACGAAGCTTAGGCTTAGAAATGACGAAAGGGTGGTCGCCCCTTTTCGCTCGAAACATGAAATCTACGAGCAATTTTGTGACGTGCCTTCTGGAACGTCCTGTAGCCTCCTTTTTCTTCATTTTTTCTTTTTTCTTTTTTTTTCTTCACAACATAGACAGTTCAAACGTTCCTCCACCGAAAGGAAATGGCGCTTTGCCGAATTGATTATAGAGATTGTTTCATCGAAAACCTTTGGACGGGACGCATTGATTTATCCTTCTTTCGTGGACGAATAATTTTTTGTCTTTTTTTCGTCAAGGTTCAAATACTTAGTGAAAAATGTTTGATGAGAGTAACGAAAAAGTCTGAGTAGATGATTAATGTGAAAAAGTGTCAGTTATGTAAATATAATACATGATAGTTGGTAAATAAAATTTGATCTTTCTAAAGTGCTGATTAGTATTACTCATTTATTAGAAAAGTATACGTATTTCTTGCACGCATTACGCATTAAGGTAAAAAATTGAAAAAGTCATTGAAATTTCCTTGAGAAACTATTACATATATATTGTTACAAAACTGATCCTTAACGATGATTATCTACATTCTGAAAATGTTACCAATCTCGATCACCCAAAGGTCAAATGAAAAAATAGAAGATACTTTGAACCCTTTGCTCTCCTATACTTCTCTCATCAAAAGCACACCATTCTCTGATCATACAGGATGCTTCAGAATACACCAAAAATTAATTGAAAATGTAAAAAAGTAAAACACTTTTGAATCATAAACAAGTACGTCAACTGTGCGTACATTTGGAACACCCTGTATATCAATTCTCCAACGATTCACGAAAACACATTTCCCCAAATAGCAAATGGTTCAAAAAAAAGAAAAAGTATAAAATTAATGATACTTATTGAAAAGAAAAATTAATCCACGCTTCGTTCGACTGTCATGGAGGCCACAGCAACTTCCGGATGCGCACCTAAACGCGTCTCGCTAAAAAATAAACGCACATCTCGTTCTCCAGTTATTATTATTCTTCTCTTTTTTTTAAATTTCTTTTTTCTTTTTTTTGTTCGTTTCATTTCATTTTATCCGTTGCTCTCGTGCACAGTCTCTACTCGAATATCTGGTCAACAAAATAAACCTCTTCTCTGCCTCCCTGACCGGAAGTGTACCTCTTAATTCGATAATCAGCGGGAATGGCGGCGGGACGCGGTCGCGCGAAGGGAAAACTTCGTCCAGCGGAAACGAAACTTCGAGATAGGCCGACTTTAGGCCGTAAAGACACGATTTTTCTAGTGGGTAGTTATAAAAAATACATTCGCTTGATACTTTCAGCCTGTTTCGCCTTGTGACCTCGCCACGTTTTCACTCGCATGTCTCTTTACGACAGTAGTTTTCTTTTTATTGCAACGATCTTATAACGATGGACACACGGAGATTTATATAGTTTTTATTTTACGAAAATATTGACTTTTTTTCTCTTTTGTTTCCGTTTCTAGATATTGCGGAATGGGAAATTTAGAATGTGGAATTTTGAGGTTAGACTTTGAAAGATCCTGTAGGGAATCTTTCGTTTTTTTCTTTTTCTTTGATTTTTATAGAATTCTAAAGTTTCTCTGTTTTCAACCAAGTAGTTATTTTTATTAAAAAGTCGAGTTACGAAATAACTGAACTGAAGAGGTTAACATTTGAATCACCTTGCAGAACATCTTCATTCTTAGTACTCCATTTTGGACCACTTCCTTTTTAAAAAAAATCCAACAATCGTTTCTATTAAATTAATCGAACATAATCCACTTGGTGTGAATCGAGTTCAACGAGTTCGAGTAGAACAATTACAGTTCAAATCCTTCGTTTTCAATCGTCGAGTTTCTCAATTCTCTCTTTTCAAAGAATAAAAACTTACGTCTCTCAGATAGTTCACCATTCATACACACAACCACCATACTATTGAGCAATGTACAAACGATTTATTATATTCTAATTATGCACCGATCGATCTACAATCTACCATCGTTTCTCATGCAAAACATTCCCTGTAAATTTCCACCCTTTCTGTTTTCCATTCTATTTAATTCCTCTAAGAAGTAGACACGCGAAAAACCGTTGAACGTCCCGCCAGGACGCCATTTTCCCGCAAGACACTTGATACAAAATGCCGCTACGCTCGCGTTTGGTATAAAAAACAGTGAAACATTGGAATGGCGATTTTTTTTTTTTTTTTTTTTATGTGTTTCTTCGTCGACGACACACCTCGTCGCTATCTACAATAATAATTATGCAGTCTGTATTTCTGGGGTGAATTTCATTTCTTTCTCTTTCTCCACTCGTTTTTCTTTTGTCCTTTCTTCCTTTCTCCCTTTTTATTCGTCTCTGCACACATCTTCTCTTCTTTCTCGTCGATTTATAGCATACAACTCTCCCTCAAGCGAACCTCGCAACGCGCAAATAAATCGTCTTCAATAAATACAACCGATAGACTATATAAATAAATAATTTCTCGCGAACGATCGAACATAGAAATTCTGACTGCGAAACACGAGATCCTTTCGTCGATCCCTCGACGATTCTTTTTACTTCTTTCGCTTTCGTTTTAGTTTTCCGTTTAGTTTTGTCAGTGGATTCGTCGAGGGATCGCGATTCTCCGCTCGTCGACACGGTTCATACGCGCCAAGCTAAGGAAAATAGCGGCCACGCGATGCGCCGACTCTTCCTTTCGTCGTGCTTATTTTTTTTATTGTCTTGCAAACGATTTTTTGGTTCGATTTCGAGCAACTGGATTTTTTGAAAAATTAGCTGAGTTTCTCTTAGAATTTTCTAATTTTCCTTTTAGAGGAGAATGGAATCTTTCGTTTACGGGGATTTTAAGGAAATGGAAGCCTCAAAAATTGCAATTTTTAAATTTGAAATTAGCACCTTTGCAAAAATTTGGGTGGAAAATGGAGATTTCGAATTTTCGATGTTTAACCTCTCCTTGAAATTTTCTCCAACTCGTCAATTACCATTCAAATTCCAAACTAGAATTCTTTAGGAAATTTCAAGAAAACTTGATTTACAAAATTCTCACTCCTTAAAAAGAGAAAAATTAGGAACTTCATCCTCCCCAAAATTCTTCCAATTCACCAATCGCAGAACCTTTAATTTACAGAATTTTAAGAATATAAAAATTCCAAATCCAAAATTCACCTTCATTTTGCAATGAATCTACCAAAAAAAAAATCTAGGAATTTCCAATTTCAATCTCCTCTGAAACTCTTCCAACTCATCGAGCACAGTTCTCTGCAATTCTCCTACAAAAAGAAGCCTATGGAGGAACCCTCACGTTCTCATCGAACATCACGATAAAAGAAACCAACAAAGAATCGTTATCGATCACAAGGCGGCGTAACGAAAGAAAGAGAGATCGGTGGTCGCGTGTGTCCGCCGTGCAAGGTGTAATCTCTCGTCTCGGATCAATCGACGAGCTGTCAGCCGGGGTGCAATTAACTGACTGGAAGCAAATCGATCGGGAAGCCATTAACGCAAGAGAGCCATTACACCAGCTAATTGTGACGGTGATTATGAAAATGGTCTAAGTAAAAAATTGAAAAAAATATTCAATTTATCAATTATATCATACTGCGTCGATATACCTTCTCATGGAAACTATTTACATCGTAAAAAGCAAGCATTTTGTGAAACACTTTATCACATAATGAAACATTATTTTTTATAACACACTCAAAGGAGAAAATGCGAATGTTCGATAAAATATTAACAAAAATTAATTATTGAAATTCAGTAGTTGAATATTCTAGAACAATTGAACGTAGATTTGCATGAAGGTGTGTGCGTGCGTTAGTAGTGAGTGACGAATGAACATGGGTCATTCCACGCCATATTGATCACTTTTTGAAATCGACATCAGGGATTTTGTTCCAAATGAAACATAACGTAGTACACGTGGAATTAGGGGTAGTTTAAGTCATCATTTAGCTGATTTCGAATTCGTTTAAAAAATGCGAACCTTTGAATTTGGTCATTTTTGCTATTTAGTCGTATACGAGACTTGTCGATATTGTTTTTAGACCATATTGAAAGTACTGCGGGGTACGAGCGATATAGACAAGCGACTGAAATAGCAGGGCGCGTGACTCGCTTACCTAAAACGGGGGTACATCAGTCCTTTTCCTGTTCCTTGTGAAGCTAATTTTAAAAACTGCATCCTGCAAAAAGGCTCATTTTGTAGGTAGAACTTCAAAGAATGTGACCATTTTTTTTTTGTTTTAAATTCAAACCCCTCTAGCACATCACAGAGAAATTTACAGAATAAGAACTTGTTTATAATTTTCAGTATTATAAAATCAATCGTTCAAACAACAAAAATATTACTACAGTAGGGCAGTCCTTCTAGATTGAAACAAAAAAAATTTAGCTCAATTCGACCAATAGTTTCCCGGATAAAAATTGATAAGCACAGCTCCTTTTCATAAAAATGGGCAAAAATGACCAAATTCAAAGGCTCGTATTTTTTAAACGAATTCGAAACCAGCTAAATGATGACTTAAACCCCCCCCTAATTCCACGTGCACTCCATTATGTTTCATTTAGAACAATATCCCTGATGTCGACGTCAAAAAGTGACCGACTTGGCGTGGAATGGCTCATATCGTAAGTTCTAAGTACCTTTTATACAGAAATGATTAATGAAGTTAGTTAACATATCACACAACAGCGTGAAATAAATCTAACAAATATAAAGTGTAATCAGATAATTCTGAAGATGAAAAAATGGACGATATGGACTTGGGCCACTTTCATAATCATCAGCTAAATTTGCCCGCTTGAATTCCGTCGTCTCTGTTTATCAATTGAAAATCGTCGTTGTTGTCGTTCGTCGACGAAACGAGTCTCTCTCTCACCTATCTACCTATACTTACCTTTTTCATCCTCTTCTTCTTCTTTCTTCGTCTTCGATTTTTTTTTTCGTTTCTTTATTTATTTATTTTTTTTTCTTTTGGTCACCTTATTTAATCTTATTTGCATCACGAACGTCATCTCGTTCAGCACCATCCAAGCACCACCCCGATATACACGTCAACTCCTACACGAGCTGTTTGCTAACTGATCGAACCCCGTACCGTTAAGGCCCGTTAAGCTCTCCTGTAATCGGACGCCTTCGATCTTTGATCACGCGACACGTGGAAAGGTGGATACTTTGATTATGTCTTTTCTTTTCTTTTTCTTGGTGATATGGGTGAAGAGAGAATTTTGTGCACTCTACAGAAGAGAGTAATTAATTTTTTTGAGATTATGTGGCAGTAGGTTCATTGGTCTTTTGAGGTTTCTTCAATTACCGTGTGGTAATTTTTAATTAAAGGTGAAGCAGAGGGATAGGAACATTTTGTAGCCTGAATAGTAAATTTGGAAGACTGGGAGAAATTTATAGTTTGTTGCATAGAATTATTTCCTGAAACTGATGGACAGAAAAATTTTTGAGATTGAGGAACATTCACACTGTGTCAAATTTAAGGGTAGAAAAAAAATGGGGAACGTTAAAAGAAGAGAAGGTCAAAGTCATTCTAAGAAAGAACTTGTCAATGGTTTCTAACAGTTCCCCAAGCACCAAAAATATTGCCATTCTCTTCAAACTAAAATCTTTTTACCTCAAAAATTCACCTCTTCCCCCTTTCCAAAAAAAAAAAAAAATACTAAAACCCAATACCATTCTTTCACCCATTAAATCACCAACAACAATACTATCAACACTCTCCAACTAAAATCTCCTTGAACTTCCTCTGCCACCTTTCCCCATTCCACATGATCAATCCAATCGTTGTCCAGAATCGCCGGGGTACTCTGAAACTGGGTGCGTCACGAGCGAGGAAGCGGCAACAAGCGTTTCACGAGGCCCTCCTCTCTTAAGAGTCCATCATCCTGATCGAGTCTCTCGATGACCTCGTGGACACGCTTCTAACCATCACCAGCACACCACCACCGTTACATCATCATCATCATCATCATCGTCATCATCGTCATCATCGTCATCGTCATCCTTCTGGCTCTCTATCCTAACCGCCATCGAATAACCTCACACGCTGTCAGACGCGACTGACATAGGCCTCTTGTAAACAGGCGCTGGTATCCTGGAGAAAGCTCCCCTCTCAGACACTGGCTTAGGATCCTTCCTGGGACTGGCAGTCATCTGATTGTCCTGGGGCAACGCTACAGTCCCGTTACCATCGATCCACGCCCTGGTGAACTCCATATTTGCGACACCATCCACAGAACCATGAGCTTGATAATCTCTCAATAAATCCTGCAGCTTCTGTACCACCTCCCTTTCATCTTGCAAATGACCAACCTTTTGAAGTATCTGTCCTAACAGAGGATTAGCCACTTTAGTAGGTGAAGATTGAAGTGATCCAGTTGTTGGTTTAATCCTTCTTCCATTTCTATCATACTGTACAGTTCCGTTCGAGCTTTGCCTAGGTAAACTTTGTCTAGCTGGACTCTTTCTTGAGAAACTTGGTGCTGTTGCACATGTGGCTGATCCTTGAGGATTTAGAAAGGTGTCTGATTGTATGCTTGGTCTTTGCCGTGCTTGTCTACCGTTCCACGTGTTGCTACCACTGATTGGACTCTGACAGGACTTTGTTATCGCTGATGCTTTGCTTAGGCTGCCTGTTGGTGGTTTTCGCAGGCTGTTTCTGATAGTTCCCCTTTTCAAAGGACTGCCTTCCGGGCTCGAGTTACTGTCTCTAGGTGTTCTACTGCCTGACGAGGCTTTGGAGACGTTGCTGTTCTCACGGACGATGGAACCTGCACGAGGAGTGCGGTCTCCTGAAGAGGAGGCCACGCTTCTTGAAGGTGAAGCACGAAGAGGACTGGCTGGACCGATTCGAGTCTTGCGAAGACCTGTTTCTATGCTTTCTGTTTCTACGCAGGACCTCTCCTCTGTCTCTGGCTTCGCGGGTTGCTCTGGAACAGATGAAGGATTGTGGTTAGTTTATAGGTGGTGGAGGGTGAAGGAAATGTGTCGATTGGAATTGAGACTGGATTTAGAGTCGTTCTGATAGGTATTTAGTTTTAAGGTTGTTTTGGTATTTGGAGGGGACGGTAAAGCTGAACTTTTGGAAATTAGTGTGCCCAGATTTTTGGAGATTCGTTGAAGGTTGATAATCCTGAATTTTTGAAAATTAGGGAATCTAAAGTTTTGGAAATTTCTCGAAAGCCGATAATCCTGAATTTATGAAAATTTCGGAATTGAAATTTTGGAAATTAGTATGCCTAGATATTTGGAGATTTGTGAAATTGTTAATCTGAAATTCTTGAAAATTAGTAAATCTGAAATTTAAAAATGTATGAGTTCAAAGTTTTGGAAAATGTTTGGATATTTAAAAATTAGCAATCTCTAATCTCCCAGAATATCCAAAAAATTCCACAATATTACCATCACAGTTCCTCTTACTATAAACGGATAGCATACCTGCACAACGGCCACATCAGCTTCCAAAAGTCTTTAGAAATCCCTTGATGGGAACATACCCACGAAAAAAGTGCGACTTATTCGATTAGTACGATTGACTTACGCAACTAAAGTTGCGTAATCACTATTCGCATAGTTTCCGCGTGCAATCGTACGCAAATGTCAACTAGAGAGCGTCATCAGCCCCCTTCTTGTTTATCCAAGCGGACTCGAGTGGATTTCGACGCGATTTAGGATTTGTCGATCATCGAATCACACTGCGTGGGCAAGCAGACGAACCATGGTTCAGATAAACGTTCTTCACTTCTTTATATCGCTCTTTCGACCGATCGAACGTCTGAAGGATCGATTGACTTTAGTTAAAAAATGTTACTTCAATTATTTCGATTCTGAACGAAATTTGAAAAATAATTTCTAACTCTTAGAAAAACGAAATTCTGTGGAATTTGCAAAATTATATTTCAGTGAATTTCGAACTGAAGTTAAAAAATTTCTAAATTTCTAAATATTAGAATTTGTAATTTTAATTAAAATTTTGAAATGTTAATTTCATTTTTATTTTTTAGTTACAATGCACCCATGACAATTTATTTAGAATTTTAAACGTGTTTTCTCCTTTTCATCATACAATTTTCAATGCTTTTGTTGCAAAGTATACAATATGTTACAGAATATTTCCAGCTTCGATTTCATCGTAAACGCAAACTCGTGTAAATGGGAATATTACTTGTCACTTTCTTATCTTTATGGTTCCCATCTTCGGAACGATTGACTTCTCAATATTAATCGTAGGAACTACGGTTGCGTAATTTCAGCAATAAACGATAAAATCGACCACGCAACGTGGAAAACGATCACATTTTGATTTTACTGAGCGTAAAAAAGTTATTAGCGAAGCTTTGCCAATTAGACGGATGTTAAGTGCGTTTTAAATCGCAAGAACCAGTTCGATGGGATCGCAAACCGCGTTTTAATAGTACTCGGAGTCTTGGATGAGTTGCCAACACGGATTTTCACGAGTGCTGTGAAATAAGAAACCATTCTGTGTAACATGGACGTGTGCCAAAGCAGTTCGCGTAATTTTTTCAAGATGACAGTGATTTCTAGAAGTAAAGGGAATAGGATAAACTGAATTGGGTTTATAATTTCCAAAATTAAATGTTTCAAATTTTCTATCTTAAAAAATGTTAAACTCTCGAATTTGCAGTCTTTCGAATTTTCAAATTTGTGATTTTTCAAACGTTAAAATTACCGATTTCCAAAAATTCAAAGCATTTCTTATCACCTATTTACCACAATTTTTGAAACATCAAAATTACTTTCAAAGATCCTAATCTCAAAGAGGAAATCACTTTCGCACAAAGAAGCCAGTGTCGGTAGTCCTACATCGATCACACACCTAGCATCAACAAACAGGCGTAACACCCTTCGTAATCGAGAGCTTCTCCCTCCTGTTGGCCAACATTTTGGACCACCCTGTAGCTCATCAATATTCACAGTACACCGACACATACGCGAACTCTCGCCTGACATTTAACTGGCTGTGAAGGATTACGCGAAGAAAGAGATCTCTGTGTGCGCGTGTTTGCGACCGTATCGTGAAGCGTAGGCGATCTTCAACAACAACCTGTCCTCGTAACAATCGTCAGCGGTCGATTCTCGATAACGCTTTGACACACGCACCTGAATTTTTCTACTCCGAGCAAACGTCTCCGTCAGCCATTGTTTTTGCAAATTTATTTCATTCATTTGATTACATTCAATGTTGCATTTAAAGAATTTTTTCAATATTTAATAACATGTGTCACGTTAGAAAGCGAATGAACAATAAATAAGAAGAAAGGGAATCAAGCAGAAAAGAGTTCAAAGGGAAGACAGCAAAGCTTACAATGCTCGTTTTGTTCGTGCACCCTTGGTCAGCTCGTATTAAACTGAATGACTGGCTTTGATCGAAAAGCCACGCGAACGTCGTGTGTTTTCTTCGCAGCGGGACGCGTTTATCGCGATCTTGGGACGATTTCACCGTTGACCGCCTGTTATGAAACGACTTGTATGCAAAACGAGTCTGTTTAGCCAATACTTTCTTCTCCTAACTTTTATTACGCTAACGACGTGCGGTGAAATTCTTTAAAATGCTTTAAAATCGTGTTGCCAAAATTTTGAAACACCCTGTATACCTTAAAATTTCTAATATTGAGAAATTTACGACCGCCAGTGTATCTATTTTATTTTTCTACTTTTTATACCTACATATACCTCCCCCCTTATTGTTAGAATGATAAAAAGAACATAAATTTCCAAAATTCTACAAAACAAATATTACAAATATTCTAGCATATACCTAGCTCTCAAGAACAACTTTCATTTTTCTATTATATTTCTTATAGCCAAAGAATGAAACGAAGATCTAATCTAACTTTCAATTTTTCAATAAACTTAAATTTCCAAAACTCGAGTACACTTCCTCCTGAAAGAAAACTTTCGCCATTCACGAATTCCCGCCATAACCTCGACCCGTTACAACGTGAAATTCGCGTAACAGGCGTGCCAACCCACACTCCCCAGACGGCTCGTAAATCCCGTCACGAAAACGAACGAAACGCGCGCCACCGTTCCATATAACGTCTACAGTTATCCATAGAGCAACAGAAAGACAAAGATAGGGAACTCACTTTGACAATCGGCAACCGTGGGCGATCCTTGTGTGCAAGTCCCTTGATTTCCACTTCCACCGGTTGGCTGTACTGCTCCCAGGCTTCGATAACCCTCGTCTGAAACTTCACTGCAGTTGTCAGAGTGCTCGCCGTCATGCGGTGATTTCGTGTAATGAACGTTCCCAGTCACGTCTTTGCTGAAGTTTTCCAACACTGGTTCCTCTTTAATGGCTGGCGGGCTAGGCGTTGGGCTACGACTGCTGGAATCCTCGCGGCACTTGTAATTGTAAATCGACGGTTCGTACTTCGGTGTGTCGTCTTTTTCCATTGCTCTACGAGCCACGCCGCCTTCCACGAGGTATTTCTTCGTGAATTCCTCCGGAAGGGGAGTTTTCGTACGAATTTCCTGGTGAAGATCCTTTCTTGCATCCTGGAAAAGGGAATTGAAGATTTGCTTTTTAAACGGATCGCGCACGAGCCGAGACTGGAATGTGACTATATTGTACTGTTGGTGAAACTTTCAGTGAATATACTCAACAAAATACTGTCGCTACATTAGCTAACTTCAATTTTTATATCATTCTACAATCTTAATTTCTCCTTTTTATAACCTAACCTAACCTCTCACTTCTCAAGAACAATCCATTTCACTTTAAACAACCTACCAACCCATCGAATCAAAAAATCAACCAAAATCACTAGAACGATTATTATTCAATTTAAAAATTCCCCAGTCATACCAACCTCAATACACTTATACACCACTCAACTCACAAACCAGCCTAACCTCACTCCCCAAATCCTGGAGGAACTCTATCACTTACCCTAAAACCCCTGAAATCCCCAAGCCCCATAAACCAACCCCATAAAACAACCCTACCCTCTATCCTAACCTAACCAAATGCCGCCAGACTTAAATTCATCGCTCACCTTAGCTTCCTGATGCTTTCCATGGTGCGTAGGCGAGCGAGACTCGTCGTTTGAACTTCTACCCGGCGAATCTAAAATGGATCCACCTTTTCCATGATCCAACTTGATCGTAGGACTGATCGACCTGAGTTGAGCTTTTGGCGTTGGTGATCTTGATCTTTGCTTGCAAAAATCGACTTGATGACTCGGACTACCCAGGAACTTCCGCTGTGGCGTTGGGCTTCGCGATCGATTGATCTTCCGTTGCTCATCGCTGGGCTGTTGCCTGCTCGGCGGCTGGTGGGGCGTGGGCGATCGCGACCGATTGCTGGAAACGCTTCTGGCCGCGTGCAGCTGCGTCGATTGCTGATTCTGCTGCATCGCGCCTGCGCACGAGCCGACCGACGACGCTGAACTCCGTCGAGTTCTAGGAGGTGATCTGCGGATCAGAGACGAGTTTCTCACACGTTTATGGGCGCAGGCAATTATGCTAGCTGACAGGGCTCTTATGGTGATTTTCGTTTCTCTTTCGAGCTTCTGTAGTCGCGGCGATTTTTGGATACTTTTTGGTACTTTTTAGTTACAATTTGGTTCCAATATATTTGTAAAGAGACTTTTTGGTTGAAATTTGGTTTTAACGTGGCTCTGGCCTTTCTTTTTCTGAGATTTGTAAAGAAAGTTGTTGTGCGGAGTTCGATTTTACTATAGCTATGCTAGCTAGAGGTTTCATGCTGAATTTTAATGTTTTGTTGCAATTACTGTAGTAATGATTTTTGTATCAATCAGAGTTTAGGTTCTTTAGCCCTTCTGCGCATACTTTGCCTGCACCCTCTGTTACAAAATGGCTACCGTATGCCATTTGAATTATCTTCTACTTGCTACTGGAAATTATCAGAAGAAAGAATATTTTAGAATGTTAGTGATAAAAGATTGATAAGTTGTTAACAAGAAATCATGTCTGCAATGTTAAATTTGATAATAAATGGGGGTTAGTCAAAAGTAGAAGGCACATAGAACATTTCAAGTGTTTAAAATTAAAATTCCACCAGACTCCTATGAATTCACCATTCTACATGCAGCTCAAAGTAAACAAGTACGCCCTTTAAAACGCCAGAAACCTTCCCTTTTCTAAAAATCTCTGCAAACGTGATTTCTTGCAGGAAGCGGCAGAGAATGAACGACTGTGGACAGACAAATGACACCTTCGAAGCAGAAAATTACTCACCTTTCGTAATGCACCTGCGCGCTGCCAAGGTCGAACGACCCTCCAGCCTTTTGAATCAACTTCGCTGAGATCATCGAGCGATGCGCTGTAACGAGGAGAAAAAAAGTCTAGAGAAAGATAAAATAAAAGCAATAATTAAAAATTCACGCGTGCGTGTACAGTGTTATTCTCGTGATTACACAATCAGTCATAATCGATGTTTTCCACCCGTTAAAGTATAATTGAAACGTCTTACTTCAGTATTAATAGGCACCTGTGTAGGCCTGGTGATTTCAACACGTGGACACGAAAACTCTCGCATAAGCGGTACGCTAACAGAAAGTCGTTATGGCTTCAGAACTGACTGAGAAACGAATTGTAATTTCTCTTAACTGTCATTTTTGAACATTCGAATTTTTTCGCGCTTTTAGTTCGAAATATAAGACGTACAATTTACGTCCGTTATAAATGTCATTTGACGAAGATGTAGCAATTGAGAGACGGCTGAAATAAAGAATGAAGTAATTCTATTTTTCCATCAAAATGATAGTTTATCAAAAATTCTATCGTTTTCCTTCACTTCTACAATCAGAAAGAAATGCGTTGAAGTATCAGATTGGTGTAGTGAATGCAAATCTTTCGATATAAATGAAACTTAAAAAGAACGAATAAAATTAAAAAAAAAAATAAAATATATTTTTCC